AACCACAGAACATAAAATCTGTGCATCTGCCTGGTCTGTTCTGCTCAGGCCTGAAGAGCTCAAAGAGCACCTAAGCTCAACAGGAGCTTCATTCTGACCGCCGCTTCCAGCTCCTTGTAGAACTGACCACAGAGAAGTCCTTTCTGCCTTTGTTAGTGTTTTCCTCTAACTGCAGCTCTAAAAGCACAACATTGAAGAGTTTGGCATTGTCATTATCAGTCACAAAACCAAACTCAGTCATACTATAGAAAATGTGGGTGGCCATTTAATACGGAGGCTAATGATATAATGCTCTGCAGGGAATGCAGGCATGTTAAATGCATGCAGAAGTCTCACTTCACATTCCAGTCCTAGGCAGGAAGCATTCCCTGTATATAAAATTCTCTAACATTGCTGCCTCCATTTTGCTTTTGGAAAAATACAGTTATTCACATTTAGCACTTGAAATATGATGATGTTGCCAAGCATTTTACAACCACAGGCATTACGTTCTGTGCATCACCTGATGCAAAAGAGCGCTGTCAAGAGCCATGGGGCCAAAGGGGAGAGGTACAGGTTGGTTTGGTTTGATTTGCTGTTGGAGTTCAGTTGTTGGGTTTGATTTTTCTCTCTCTTTTTTGCAATAATTCAGAGCAAAGTTTTCTTCTTGACTGACAAGGCTAAAATGCAGCTTCAGAGACTTAAATGAAAGGGAAGAAGCTGAACGATCTGAGCTAATACACGTGCTTCTCAAGTGCCTCTAGAGACTTGGCAAAAACACATGCAAGAACAACTGTCAGCAAGGATGTATCTATCCCATAGATCACACAGCCCACAAGGCCTCAGAAGAGCTGAAGCTCTCAACCAGCTTTTCACACTGAAAGGAGCAGGGAAGTTAGAGCAATGTATTGCTAAAGCTATCGGGGGAAGACTGGAAAGATCCTTCACGCAAACAGTAAGTTATCTGGACAGATCTTGATGGCAAAATGAATACAGAGCTTGAATGATTAGGGGTAAATGAAAGAGCACATCTGGATTTACAGGGCAAAAGGTGCAATGCTGAGTAATGTCACTGTAAGCTGCCTACGAGGTGTTTCTGCTTACGTTTCCTGCTACTGGAATTCACCATGTCCTCACTGCTGTGCTTAAAAGTCTGAAATTAGAGGAAATGGGAGACCACTAACCCCACATACAAGAGTTAACACAGTGCAGAGTACAGCACAGCCCTGCTGTTACAGCACCAGCACGGAGTTACACGCTGCTTTACACTTCTCCTTCCGGAGAGAGCCTGTGGTATGTGAAAAATCACCACTGAGATGCTGTTAGTTCCGGGCTGCAAAGCAGCAGTTTCCCTCGCAATGAACACACAAGAGCAGGAAAGCAACACCTATAAGGAAAGAGCACTGGGATCACAAACATCTGTGCAACGCATCCAGTTTTCAAACATGAAAAGAACAAAACCACCAGAGCAGACAGATTGATCCTCCTGGGATTTGGACACACCATTCCAGGAAATGGATACTTGAGACACAGGGCATAGGTTCAAGTCAAAGGTAAGGGGCACATGCATTAACCGTGCAGCCACTTGAACTGCTGAACCGAGACACAGACGACTGGTGAGCATCACTCCTGAACTGACAGAACATACTGCAACAGGAGCAGCACGGACCCAGCTCTGCAGGCAAGACACTGTCCATGTGGGATAACTCAAGTTACCAGCTGAAGTCTCCATCTCACAGCTATGGAGACGGTGATCAATGCTGTGTCAGCACTGCACAAAGCTGTTTTCAGGGATTCACAAGGCAGTGACACGAGATCTCACTGTCTCTGTTCTTCCACACTGTCAAAACACACCTTCTTTCCTCACAGCTTGCACCAGCCAGAGCTGAGTCAGGCACTCCATCTATCAAGGAACGACAACTGCGTTTCCAAGTAGAGCAAACAGGTAAAGACATGCAGAATGCACACTGCAACGCTAACTCAGTGCCTGCTGGAGGTGCTTTTCCCACTCTAATTGCAGGCAGCTCTTTCCAGAAAACGCCTCTCAAGCACATGAAAAACAAGAGTTTCCCAGTGCTTGTATTGCTTTGCATAGATACCTAACAAATCCTGACAGCTAAACTCAGTGGAAGCCTGCTGATAGCATTATGCTGCAGCATTAACCGTTCTCCTTCAACAGGTAGTGTCCTCACCTAAGAGCAACTTCAGATTTATGGACATGTTCATAGGGAGAATTTATTTTGTAGCTGCATTCGTGTATCAAGGAAGTTTTATGGGAGTAATAACTGTTTTCAACAGCTGTATCCACAAAACTCCCTGTAATTCTCATGTCTAGGTCTGTTTGCATACAACACCTCTGCATGGCAGGGGGCACATACATCTCATCTAGTAGCTGCAGTATCAACGTGCACTTCCCAGTGGACTTTGTTCCAATGATTTTAGATCAAGTTTAGATCAGGATCTTAGTGAAGAAGTATTTGACAGCTTCAGCTTTAAGCAAATCTTAACTACACATGTGCAACTTTTAATGAAAACCAGCACCTAAACTTTCCTGGCACCCCAGTTTTGAAGAGGGACAGTTAAGTAAGAGTGAGACTAAAACTTCATCATCACATCAAACATGATTCATGGTTAGCTACAGAAGCCAAGGAGAGCAGGAGAGCAAATCTCCCGGCTCAGCTGGTTCTCTGGTAGGAAAGAGCAGGGCTGGGAGGAGAAGCCACAGCACAGATCTGTAATGTTACAGTCAAAGTAAAATTGAGGTGAGCTTTCAATAGTGACTTTTTGAACTCCTACAAGCCCCTGGGCTCCTTTCCTTTCAAAAGGTTGGCCAAAAGAAGTAGGTCTGGGACATGAGAAAGCACATCACTTCCTCCACCCAGCTCCCAACAGTGAAATGCAGCGCTGAAGTTTCCCAAGAGAGGAGAATCTATGTGTTTGGAAGGGGTGATGGTGGGAGTATGTCTTTGACAAACACAACAGTGGAAACAAACCACCTCCACACGCACCCACCAGGAACGACAGCATCGGGGTGGTCACTGAGTCCTCAAGGAGCATGGACATTGCATTCCAAACACATATAGAGCATTCATCTGCACTGAGGCTGTAACAGGATTTTGGCCACTGCCCCACTTGGTTCTTTCCCCTTTACTCTCCAGAGACCACTTCAGTGATTGCACAAGCAAGAAGGTCTTTGTGCTCCTATTCAACTGATATCTGCACCCCAAACCACTACACACATCCTACCCATCAACTTGCTAACAGCATCCAACATCTTGGAGGGAAGCCTTAAAAGTATTTTCTGCCCTCCCCCCCAGTATTCTCCTGGGGGGGGAGAATACTCCTCCAAGTAAAACAAGTGACTTGTCAATGCCCACCACCACACTGAAATCCCACTTCACATCTAACTCACTGCAGAAGATGCTATTTTCAATGCAGAAGGGCAAAGGCACATGCTTCCACTTGTGGGAATTACAGGGCTATTGATTTACATAGAAGGCTAACATCACATTTAAGGCTCACATTCCCCGTAGTACTTTCCACACTACTACTAACATGTTAAACTGTGAGACCAAATATACAAGACAGACATTAAAAGACTTAATCCTCTTAACACTAAATGAAATACACAAGGAAGTAATGTGTTAATACCTGCAAGACAAAGCTGATGGTGAGCGCAACTGAAAAAGCAGCTACCAGGGACACTGATGCCATGTAAAGTCTGAGCAGCAAGACAAACCTTTGGCCATTTCAACTTCCCTTCCTTCCACAGCATCAGGACCAGAATGAGAAGTTTCAGGCCATTCTGTCTTGAAAGCCTCAGAGCTTATTTGTTAGCACTTAGCAATTATTTGGCAACATCAACTTTGCATGTGTGCAGCACAGGAGTCAGAGCTGAACATTGAGAGAACAAAGCCAAACCCCTTCCCTACATCCCACCAGGTAAAGTAGAGCCAAAGACAGGCTAACAAGGTGAAAAATGTCACAGGATCAGGAGTTCAAGTACATGATGGGGATGGATGGGAAAAAGCAGGGACCTGAATAAGGGCAGGACATGTGAAAACAACCCAGCTGACACTGCACAACACCACGACCCCGTTCCAGAGCTGCTGGAGCTCAGGCTATCAGAGACTTGCTCTCAAGATACCCAGGAGTGAAGGCAGAGCTACTGATAAGGGGTTTGGGTGAAAATGCTCAGCTTCAGTCCACTTGCTGTCACACAGCAGCAGTAAGACTGTGCCTGGCCCTCTGCACAGTACAAGACCAAGTTCCCAGCCCTCAAATGCTTCCACTTTGCCAGCTCATTTTCAGTGTGAAGCAACAGTTGTGAACAAAGATTGCTGACAGCTCCAGACTCATTGCCCAACACGAACACTTCAGCCAGTGTAAGGTTAGCAGCATATTGTGCAAAAGCCAGATTTCAACCAGCGGAGCAACACCATGCAGCAACTGATCCTCTAATGGCCAAACTGTTCTTTCTCTTTATGAACAGAGAAGAACCACTGGCTCTTCAGATACAGTGAGTAGTGAAGAGCAGACAGCAGGAAACCTGCATGAGTTTTCAAAGTGACAGCAACCCCATGAAGGACCAGATCAGGACCCATAAGAGGCAACAGATAAGCTCATTTCTCTCTCTCTGAGAACCAGCCTACCACCTCCCACTCCTCATTTCAGGAGGTTGTTTCAGGTTGGCACAAGAACTATGGCAACCACACATTTAACCTCTGGGCTTGCAGGCTCACGCTATAAAGGAACAAGACACAGTTGGCATTGCTAATAGAAAAGCATCCATCCAAACTAAAATTCCCCACTAGGAAGAGGGCAGCCCTAGCCTCACAGATAGCTCCTGGCAGTGGAAATGCATTTCTTTAATGTCTGGTGGGGGGTGACAGTGGGCTCTGTCACCTGCATTATGAAATGAGAGGCAGAAAGGAAGGGTCAGGCGTGTGTGTTATGTTACTTCAAAGAATCCCTCCAAGCAGGAGGCAAAATAAATAGCTGCAGGAGAGGAAAAAACCCGGTCTGGTTTGAGTGCATATGCTGTCCTTTATTCTTAAAAGCATTACAGACACTCAACTCTGCAATCTGCTCCCATTACGGGAGCATTTCCAGCTGATTACATGCAATGGAGCAGAGTTCACATACAACACAGGCTCTACATGCTGGCATTGACTACAGGGGCCAGATCTGAACAAAGCTGTTCTGAAAGAAGTGCAAAAAGCTTCAGTCATCAAGGCAGGGAAAGCCAACCAGTGTCCTCCATGGGAGAGCAGCCAGAGCTCTGGTTTCTGATGTACAGTGTCAGGAGCACCCCATTCTCCAAGCATGTCCAAGGGCAGCCTGTTCCCAGGGGAAGAGAAGGGATAACAGGAAGGTAATATCAAAAAGGCATCAGCCACAGGTCCCTCATATTTTCATGTCACTTAGCTCAACTGAAGGCAAAACTCAGAAGAGATGAGGAGATTTCAGAAGGAAAGAGAAGGAAAATGCCCACTGGAGTCATTTAAAAAGAGAGTTTGAATTTAGCTTCTAACACATGTAACTGAAAGCAGGATGCAGTCTCTACTGCTACCTTAATAACAGCATTCTCAAACCAGAGTGCCTGTATGTAGCAGGGAGCAAACCCTGAGCATGCAGCACACAGATGTGGGATTTTTATATGAACCCCTGAAGTCCAAAAAGCTGTCTTGGTCAGGAAACTGAGCTCTAAGTATAGAGATCTGCTCACAAAATGCCCACAGAGCTCTTAAGGATGTTTACTGAATACCAGGCTTGTGGTGTGTTCTTCCTTTGCATCTGACTAGATGGGATTTGAGGAATAGGAGCAAAAAGCAAGCAGAACATTCTTGCAGAAACTCAATGAACTGAGCAGCATTATGAAGGTCAGATACAAGAGCCTGGAACTGACAATTTCATGGAATTGCAAACTGGAACCCGCAGTGCTGCTACCACAAGCGTTCCTCACTCTTCATTTGAAGCTGAGCTCTGCTGTTGCCACAGTAATGGAGAAGATGCAACTAAGTGGAAGAAAATGCAGTATTAACAGGTAAACAATCAGACACAGAGACAATTAGCAGGACACATCTAGCTGGGTTGTGCTGAAGCACAATTCCTTAGAAAGGTACAAGACCTTCCCATCGCCTTCCCTCCATCCAGAGCTTCCGGAGAAACGGCAGCAAGCTGCCTGGGCAACCACAAATTCCTAATCAAAACCCCACCAAGCTGCAGCTGGCAACAGTGGATTTTCCCTCCCCCTTTTCTCCTTTGTGAGATGATTTAACAAGCTACAGCATCCCAAGAGACATGACAACCAACCAGCTTGAACTGTACGCGTCCATCTGCGCTGTTCCCTTCTGACAGACACACAAAAGGTCTGAGTTTGGAGTAAAAGTGTTGCCACAAGCAAGTTGTGCAGAAAACCATTGTGGCAGGGTGCACTTCGTTCCCATGGCCTGTCATTATTCCTGTACGGGGGAAACTGATGCACCAATTACGTGTTTTGGGATGGGAGATACATGTCACTCTCTGCTAGCTGTCTACTCTGCAGGACAGCTACATGTCCATTGTCAGATGAAATCAACAGGATCAGAACAAGTCAAAGTTACTATTTTTTTCTCCTAGCATCCAGAGTGATTTGATCCAATATGATCTCAGTGGGAATTTGGGAACCTTGCACCTGGAAGCATAAAGGAAAGGTGGTTAAGTCTTAGATATATCCTACACAGAGAAACTAAATACACCTCCATGTTTTCCACCATCTCTCAGTGCCAAACAGACCTGTCCTCTCCTCACTCTGGCCCACGAGAGCCAAGCTCAGATGCTCCACTTGGCCACCGTGCCCTCCAGCCCAGGCAAAGCCATCTCCACCCCAAGCCATCGTGGAACTACATGAACCCACTCACTCCCACAGCAAGCCAGCTCTTCTTTTTCAGCAAGGCTGCTGCCTAGAACTGATGCCCAAAACACTGAACAGTGATGCCTGTGTCTGACCTGGCATAGATGAGAAACAGGGAAATGGGCCAAATAAAGCAGAGCCAGAGAAACAAAGATCCAGGGACTGAATCAGCTCTTCCCTCCATCAATTAAAAAGCAAATGCAATTATTTTGTATCAATAACTGCAGCTGGAGTGCACTTTTGCCTTAGGGAGACTGAAAGAAATGAGAATATACTATTTCCCTTGTGACATTGCGAAGATGAGCGACATGAAGGCTTTGAATTTACACTGGCATTGACGTGCTTAATTGTTGAGACAGATGGGGAGTGCACATGCAGGGAGAGACCCCACATGCCTTCAGCAGGGACCCACAGGGTGCCAATCCCTGTACATCAAGACAACATTCAGCTTCAGTAAAAAGGAAATTAGTTGCTCTGATATTGAAGACCAAATGCAGTGGGATGGGAGAAGAGGCCCTCAAGGAAAAAACATGGGACTGGAGAATTAAGAGCCACGACAAAGCTTCCACTTAAGCATTTGGAGCAGACTTTGCCCTTCAACACAACCCACATCAGCAGCAGAGCTGTTTCACCCACACAGCTCAATTTGAGCATGCATCAAATCCCAGTGCTCCGGCATAATCAGAAGGTCCCTGAAGGCTAAAGAAAGACAGGGCCAAGCAAGAGATTAACTGGCAACAATGAGGGAAACAAACATGCCACTGCTCTGACTCCAGATGAAATTCTTTCTTGATGAGCTTTTTAATTGGATGCTCAAAGAGCAAGTAACAAGAAAACAAGAGAGCAAAGACAGTAAGGGTAAGAAGGGAAACAGAAAAGTGACCCTGCAGTGGCTTGGATGGGAACATTATAAGGACACACCTCACCCATCGCATTCAAAGAGCACTGTGATAAGCTCCTGCTCCCTCTTGGTATGTATGCATCAAGCAAACATAGAAAGCATCAACTTAAGACAAGAGTTCTTAAGAAGGCTTAAAGAAAAGTTGGATGGACATGAAAAAGGATGTCCTTTTCCTCCAGAAGCATCTGTGAAAGCCAGCCTGTTAAAAACCAGGCACAAGAGTGAACGGCCGAGGCAGGAAGTTATTCCCAAATCCTGAGATAGCTCCTATAAAGTTGTCATTACTTGTCTATGCTATGCAGAACAGAGATAAGGTCTGAGCTGAAAGCCAGGAGTGGATAAGTGAGCCAGCAAAATGATACGTATTAAATGCTAACTAAGGTCCTTTCCCTGCTAACTGCCTTGAAAGAGCTGTGGGGAAAGCTAGAAGGGCAGGGAGCTCCTCAGAGAGCTGACAGGCACCTGTGGAAATCACCACCAGTAAACGGAATAAATACTGGATCAGGAAGCAAAGAGAGCTCTTTCCCACACATTTCACTGGGCACCTTTAAGCTTCCAGCTTTTATCCACCTACCACATTTGATTTCACCCAAGATGACAAACCAAAATGGATTTTCTTTGGGGAACATACACAACATGAAATAATGTGTTCCAAACCCCTTAAAACACTTCTGCCTACTTATTTGAAAGCATTTAAAAACAGTTCTGGGCTTCTCTTTCTGCTGATAAATACAGTTCTCCCAGCCAGGAGCTGCTTTTAGTGGCAGAGCCTTTCCCAGCCTACCATTTTTAAGACACAGGAGGAATCTCGATATGCAAGTCAGGCTCCTAAATTATAAACTTATGCAGGGATAAAACTCTCCATTACTTCAAACAGTTTCAGGGTCATTGCAACTCTATCCCAGCAAAGAACTGTATCTCAGCTGTGACAACTCAGACCCATAGAACTACCAAGACCTTAAAGCATTTCAGATGGCTTCAAGTGCTTACCTACCAACAGTGACAGCTTTTGAGATGGAAAGCACAAAGTCCTTTTTGCAGCTCTCCATAGCTGCCTTGGAGCTGCACTGAAGACCATTAAATTGTGCCCAACTTTCCTGAGGGATTTAACAGAAAAAGCATAAGTGAAGCATGAGTGAGTTGTAGAGAAACCCAGAATCTTCATTATGAAGCTTGTACTTAGAACTACAGCATCTCTGGGCTCTCTTCTCTAGGTCTGGCAGGAAAGCTGCGCTGGACTCCTCACAGCAGCTCAACCACTGAGTAGTTTCAGCACCACCCTCAGCACAGACAACCAACACTGCGCTTGGATGACATCCTCCACACTGGACAAGCACAAAGACTGCAGTTTGCTTTTTATAACCAATTCTCTTCTTTTTAGGGCTTTATTCTCAGCAGAAAGGAATGTCAAGAAGACATCCTGTTTCACTCCTTCTGTGAAGTAATTCCTGTTGAGGTTAAAGGAAAGAGTCTCCACATGCCAAATCCAGCAGTAATTATGCATGGCAAAGTTCTCTCTGTTTTCAGCTGTTTCTCACTCAATGGAGATGAGCCACAGAAGTTCAGACATATGGCTTCAGACTCCTCAAGGGTGTAAAGAGAGCCCAATGTCACAAGAGGAATGCATGTCATTTTAGATCATGCAAAGGTAGCTACCAAAACACTCTAAAACAACCAGAAATCACCCATCGGGGTGTCTCAGGATGAACTGAGGTAATTTAAGCAACTCTCACGTGACATCCAACACTGTGCAGCGAGAAATCATGGCTTGAAAAAACACTGGGAAGAAGTACTAGCAAAAAGAATAAAGTACACTGGACATATAGAGTCATCCAGGTTGGAAAAGACCTTTGAGATCATCAAGTCCAACCCTTACCCCAGCACTGCCCAGGCCACCCCTAACCCATGGCACTGAGGCCTCGTCTCCACGCTGTGTGAACACTTGCAGGGACGGTGACTGCAGCCCTGCCCTGGGCAGCCTGTTCCAATGCCTGAGCACCCTCTGGGGCAGGAATTGTTCCTCAGCTCCATCTAAACCTGCCCTGGGGCAGCTTGAGGCCGTTTCCTCTTGTCCCATCCCTTGTTCCTTGGGAGCAGAGCCCAGCCCCTCCTGGCTCCATCCTCCTCTCAGGCACTTGTAGGCAGCCATCAGGTCCCCCCTGAGCCTTCTCTTCTCCAGCCTGAACCCCCCAGGTCCCTCAGCCCTTCCCCATCACACTTGTGCTCCAGGCCCTGCACCAGCTCCGCTGCCCTTCTCTGGCCCCGCTCCAGCACCTCAATGTCTCTCTTGTAGTGAGGGGCCCAGAGCTGAACACTGTATATGGTCCCTTATTTAGGTCATCTGATGGACCTCCCAGTCCTTCAACAGAACCAAGACCAGAATGCAAAGCTTTAAAGTCTCCAAAATTCAAGGTTTCGACATAATCCTGTTCCTGCTTCCTAAAAAGCTTGCTCTGATTCTGAAATTAAGGGCGGGCCTGGGAGCCCGTCTGCATCCCTGCATGGACAGACTTCAAACCTTATCAGGCATCTTTAACCAGATTACATTTTAAACCCAGGCAAATTACTTTGTGATGCCAAACTTGAAAGGATTTTTCATAGTGCCTTAATTAGGATGAGGCAAAAGTCGTATCACCTGATTTCCAGCCCACTTCAAGGTTAGATTTAAAGACCATCTATCACATCTTCAGCCTGGCTTGCCCTAAGAGGCTGGAAAACAGCAGGCAATAGGATTAGATATAAATCTAATGAGATCATGTGTTTACATAAAATTTATGGCACTCTCTTTTAGACAGGGCTGTGTTCTTGTGTCCTTAGCATGTGGCACTACAGACACTTCCTTTTAGCTGTAAAAAGGTTTATTTTCAACTTTAATTTCCCTTTAAAAGAAACCCTGTCTATAAATAACAAGGGAAGAGCACTAGTTTAACATGGGTTTACCAAACCTAAACAAGATGAATTCGAGCTCTGACTTTCTGCTAAACAGCAGATTCTCTCTGAGAGCCTGGTGAAAGCCTTGTGCAAGCCTTGGGCACACACACTCCCGTTTCAAAAGCAACTTCTGTAACTTCATCAACATCCTGATAGTCCCAGACACCTTTACTGGTACAGTCAGGTAAGGTAGGATTCATCATCAACAATGTACATGGCCTCAGCACTTGGCATCTCAAGGCCTCCCAGACAGGAGTTCACCTTTACTAACTGTGGGGGAAAACAGCCACCTTAACACTTGCATGTGCTAAAGTCTGCTAAAAGGCTTGGTTTAGGAAACAGTAAAACACCACACAAATGTTCACACTGCAGAGATAAAACTGGTTTGAAATCCAAACCCATTATCCAGCAGTCTGGATGCTTTACTGGGTTTTTTCTCCAGGATACAAACATCCACCCTGGCACACACTGCTATGGAGCATCAGGCTGCATCAAACTGTGCTGCATCAAAAGGAGCATCAGCAGCAGGTTGAAGGAGGGGATTCTGCCCCTCTGCTCTGGGGAGACCCCACTTGCAGCACTGTGTGCAGTGCCTGTGTCCCCAACACAAGAAGGACATGGAGCTGTTGGAGCAAGCCCAGAAGAGGCCACAAGGATGCTCAGGGGCTGGAGCACCTCCTGTATGGAGCCAGGCTGAGAACACTGGGGCCGTTCAGGATGGAGAAGAGAAGCTGCTTGGAGACCTCAGAGCAGCTTCCAGTGTCTGAAGGGGCTACAAGGATGCTGGAGAGAGACTCTTCATCAGGGACTGCAGTGACAGGACAAGGGGTGATGGGTTCAGACTGAAACAGGGCAAGTTCAGGTTGGATCTAAGGCAGAAGCTCTTCCCTGTGAGGGTGCTGAGGCGCTGGCACAGGGTGCCCAGAGAAGCTGTGGCTGCCCCATCCCTGGCAGTGTTCAAGGCCAGGTTGGACACAGGGGCTTGGAGCAAGCTGCTCCAGTGGAAGGGGTCCCTGCCTGTGGCAGGGGTTGGTGCTGGAGGAGCTTTAAGGTCCCTTCAATCCAAACCACTCCAGGATTCTATGATTCAGCTTGAGTTAAAAGGAATCAAGACAATTTAGCTCAGCTAGTCATCCAAACTTTTCAAAGGTCACCTCCCAGCCCATGCCACAGAGAGATTTCCTGATCAACCTTGAACTTTCTCAAGCAAGCCCTGGAGAATCATTGCAGGACAGAAGGGGTTTAAATCCAGGTTTAACAATGATGAACACTCAGGTGCTGAACAGCATCAAAGCTCTGCTTTGCTTTAAGCAGGGCATTTCCCCACCGACATGAGGTGGCAAGCAAGTTCAGAAAGCAATCCTTTGGGAAACCCGCTATAAATAGTCCTGAGGACCTAATACAGGCTCTCCAGGTCTGGCATAGAGGAAGAGGGCACATTCACACACTCCAGCAGCAATTCCTCTCCAAACACAGCTCCCACCATCCTGCCCTCTGCCTTTAATTAAGCTTTTTACCCCCTCATCAGTCTATCAAAGACCTTCCTCTTGCTGATAGCTACAGTCCCAGGTGGACCAACATTTCAATTCCTGTTTTCCTCCCTTCTGCAGAAGCAGCCAGATGAGCTTCTCTAGGCTGTTGCTATAGAAACAAACCAATCCTCAACACTTATTTTTACCAGTTTCTGTGAAATAGGATTTATTTCATTTCCATGACTAAGCTGTACTCCAGAACGAGCTCTTTGGGACAGTGACAGGGACAGTGACATCTCAGCATGACAGGACCTCATACCTGGTGTCAGTGATACAAAGAAATGGCCATCACTCTTATTCAAAAGCACCTTCTTCATTTCAAGAGGACACTCCACCTTGAAATGATTCGTGCAGTCAGAGTATTACTGAGTTGTGGCTGTATCTGTGAAGTGGAAAAGAGCAGAGGAGTGGCTGGCACAGCCTGAAGACCATGGATATGCTGGGAAAGCTCATTTGAGCACCCACCAGATGTCAAACACCCTCTGCGCAGACAGAAGGATCATCACTGAGTCCCCACAACCTGCTGTACTCACAGGATGAATATGGCTCAGTGGAAGCTCCTCATGGAAGGCAATGGGCTCACACAGAGTCAAGGCATTAGCACGTTAACCTGGTGCAAGCCTCCAGGAATTTGCCTTATCCTTGTCCAAGTGCAGCTGGGAGAGGGCTTGCCCTTTCGGTACGAGATGAAGCGCACTTGTTACCCATATTCTGTATCACATCTTTCATTAAATCTTTTACGTCCTGCTTTTTCCTTCAATCTCACCAAAACAATGCATTACGTCATAAAATCCTACTGGAAGAACACTGGTTTTTGGCTCAGCTGCTCCTAAAAGATCAAATACTGTTTCACACATTCATCTTCAGAAATTTCAGCTATCTGCCAAACAGCCTTAATCAGCCAGAGTAGGACCTACGTCATGAAGTAGAGCAGCTCAGCTTCTACCAACACATGCTGTTTAGACAGTCCACATGCAGATCTGAATGACTACATAGACAGCTGCAGCAGGACAACTGCTCCCCAAGCAAAGGAGAAGGGAAGGGGAGATCCTGCTCCTCTGTGCTGTCACCTGCAGGTTTCTGTCATTTCCCTCCTATTGGACCGAGGAACTGCGCAGTCTCATGAAACAAGAGGTATCTGTTAGCTCAGCTGGGGTGATTCACCCTGGAACAGCCCCACAACACAAATGACTGTTGGGAGAGAAAACAGGGGACCTTCATCAGGGACTGTAGTGACAGGACAAGGGGTGATGGGGTCAAACTGAAACAGGGCAAGTTCAGGTTGGATCTAAGGCAGAAGCTCTTCCCTGTGAGGGTGCTGAGGCGCTGGCACAGGGTGCCCAGAGAAGCTGTGGCTGCCCCATCCCTGGCAGTGTTCAAGGCCAGGTTGGACACAGGGACTTGGAGCAAGCTGCTCTAGTGGAAGGGGTCCCTGCCCGTGGCAGGGGTTGGAACTGAAGGATCTTAAGGTCCTTTCCAACCCAACCCAGCCTGGGATTCTATGGAAACCTGTCTGTTGAGCATTCAGTGCCCAGCTGAACACTGCACAGCTCCTGCCCTCGAAACAGAGCACTCTGGATGTACTCAAATCTGCAGTGACATTTCTTCAGTTTTGGGACTGCAGACAAAAGTAGAGGGGAATGAAGCTGTGGAAATGTCAGTATCTCATTGCTCAAACATCCCATATTTGTTTACATGCATAGCTGTGGTTTGGGTCCTGAAATTCCTACACAGAGCTCAATGGTAGGACAGTAACGTGGGGTATATAGATCGAAAAGCCATCAGGGATTCTCACAAACATCCACTCGGTCCACTCCAGTGCCACAAGCATCCACTCTGCCACCAAGGTAAACACAGAGACACCCCCTGCACCAAGGGCTGAAGGCAGCTGCTAATTCCAGCACCAACAAAGCCAGCCCTAAAGTCTTCAAGATGCAGATTTCAAGCCTGCACCCAGCATTGTAACCAAAGCATCAGTGCAGAGCTCAAGCTGCCCCTGCAGGCACCCCGAACACAAACCACCTCCTCAGTCCTCAGGCTTCCTAGAGCTGCCTGGGATCTGCCAGCCAGCTCTGAAGCCAGACTTTTTCGAGGCATGGAAAGTAAGTAAACTGCATGTCATGGATGCAATTCACTGTTCCTCCCATGATGGAGCAAAGCACAAATCTTGTGTGTCTTGTGAATGCTAAGAGCTGCAAAATGATGCTCCTGGGAAGGAGTGTAACCTAGCAATTGGAAAAGCAGCCCGGGAGCGCTGCCTCCTCACCCTGCTCCTGCCCCTGAACACATGGGGATACTGCTGCTATTTAAATCCTGAATCCATCACCAGGCAGTGCCTGGCTTGGTTCTGACATCCTCAACATAATCTGACCTATCTAACATCCTGACCCACCTACAACTCCTAAAATCCCATCTTAAACCACAGTAACTCCCCCATGGAGTGCTTCAAATATGAGCATATGGATATATCCCAAACCTGTTTGGCACTTCAAAACACTCTGCTGGGAAAAAGCAAAGCAAGAATTAAGCTAATGTGTTCTCACCTTCCATCTGACACAAACACATTGGTGCTCCCAAGAAAGCAAGTCCCAGGACACTGGAGGACTTGGCATGTGGGTAAAGACTGATGGGAAGTCAACAGCCAGAAGAATCCACCCCAGCCTGGACAGCCACCTATATTATAGTGCCAATGCCAGATTAATCAGTCACTGCCCACACAGTTAGGACACTTCTACTCAGCATTAGCAGAGATTTCTATCCAACATGCTGTGCTCAAAGCATTTTGCTTGAAGGCTGCAACACCTCAACTGATTCACATCTGCTCCCAGCTCCTCACTCACTGAATTCAGCTCCTCACACCCTCCTCAGCACCACTGTCCCTCCTGTCCACTACCAAGCAAACCAGCATGCACAGCATGAAACCTCAGCCTGCGCAGTCTGTCTGGAAGGAAGCAGGACAAAACTCTCCCAAGGGAGTTTCCCAAAAAGGAAAACCACCTACACAACAATTTTCCTGTGCACTCCAAGCAAGCCCTGGGTGCTGCCTAAAAACAAGTCCATTCTAAAGAGGAAAATAGGTGAGCAAAGCAGGGCACGGATAATGCGACTTGTCTGAGGTCCCACTTCAAACTTATGGCAAGAAAACCCCAGTCCACCCCAGCCACATCCCCAGTCACAGAACTGTGCCAACCAAAGCAAGCAAATAAAACGTTCCAAAGGTGAATTAGAAGATCCCAAAGATCCAAAACACTTCAGAGTCCCTGCCAATAACTGCAGCCTTCCTGAATGATTTAAAAAGTGCTTAGAAAACAATTCACAGAACAGAGCTGGTGCACACCTAACGCCCATGGCACTGATACTCTCACCAATCCCAGAGTTCAGCTCCTAATTAAAGAGAGCTCTGTCCTGCTTTGCTGTTTGCAAGCAGGGTGTGGAATAGAAGACAGTTTAAAAGTGGGTGAGATTATTAATCACAGCCCCAAGAGCAGTGAAAAGCCCAGTCATGAT